GAGGACTGCATTTGGCTCCCCGAATTAAAGGGAATTTCGAGCATAGGGGGAATCCTCGAGCCGAATAGTCGAATCGCGATAGCGTCTTCCCCAGCGAGAGCTGGATGCAGTTTGCACCGATGCACCGAAGATTGCATCGTGAGTCGCTGCGAAATTTCGCCCCTTTCCCGGATTTTTAAGGTTTTCTGCCTCTTTCAGGGCGCGTTTCAGATGACGTTAAGATAATTCCGCGATGCTCCGATATTTTCCTGCAATTTCGGGCAATTATTTCCCATCAGCGCGTTGCACGTCTGCAGCCGACACCTCGTAGGGAATGCATTCTGCGACAAGTAGTAAAGTCATGTTTACGCAGCCATTATCCAATAAAGTCCAATGAAGGTGATTCGAGAAGAGATCTGCAGAGAGAGCAAATCGACGAATCTCGAGATGGTTCATCTAGATCTCGATCTCTTCAGGGCGCGTCCTTAATTTCTAGGAGCGACCTGAAAATGCGCTTCAAAGGAACATCCATTTTTTTGTTTAGAGATATCCGACGCCGTGTACTTTCATATGGCCGATATTGCCGGAAATTCGTCGACGGAGCTGCCACTCAATGTCGAGTAAAAATGATAAACAAATCGCCCTTCCCGGATGGCACGACTGTATATTGTCGGAAACCCTACGAGCTCCTCCAGGATTTTGATCTTCGCCGTGTAAACGGAGAGTAAATTGATATGATCGAGAAATGTGTATTGTTTCTCCGTGGAAATTTCGGAATTTTCCGGAATTTTTAAACGATGTTTCATTGGATCCTTCGCGGGGTAATCGATGGGGCTGATGATTGGAAAAGAATTGCCAGGCAGGAATTCATTGCCGGATGATTAATAAATTTCTGCCGGCATATTGTGTATTGATTCTACTCGTGACGGGGCCCTTTTTTACGGCTCCTGTTGTAAATTCTTGTCGCCGATTCCGGTTATCGAAATGGATGACGTCGGAAATTTCGGGGAGGATATTGGATGTGCACGGGAGCAATAACTGAATTGAGCTACCGGCTATGGGCCGCGTTATGATCGGAATATTTTCAATTACCTGAACACACAGTGGTAACCGTTCGCATTCTGCCAGCCGAGAATACCTACGGGTTCATTTACATCCCTTAACATGCTCCTCATATCGTCCGCGAAGTCGACATTTGATATTTTCCATGACCCAGTCTCCCGGGTCGCAAATCTGATATGACTTCTTCGGTATGTCAACCGGAATGGAAATATTAAAAAATTCCACGAGATCCTCCCCGTCCCATAAATAATATATACATTATATACCCTGCCATTGATAAGGGTAACTAATCAAAATTCCCGAGAGATTCCAAAATATCTCCCCATTTTCGGGCCTCATATGACTCTCTCACCTAGTCAATCCAATAATGACATCTTGTGGGACCCTTTGGTCGTTCTGTAATGTATGTTATTATTTATTCCACCGTTGGTAAATACGATCGAGGCGGAATTAGGGAGAAATTCGAAATCAGGAGCAACCAAGCTGAATTACTCGCGGTGGTCTCCAATTGCAAGCATTGCACGGTTCGTCAAACGTTTCGCGCTTCTCTTGGAGACCTGAATATAGTCCTGCTCTTATAAAGGGCGGCATGCACGCACGGATGCACCCCCACCAACGCACATTCTGCATATCGGATCAACCCCGATTCCTTCGCCCGACAAAATGTTAATTCCACCCCGTGTAGTGCGCACTGCGACCAACTGCACCTGCACTTCTAACACCCCGACACACTTGGGGCATTAGGTGCAACTTTCCCATTCTTCGTTCTAAGTACTCGATGCACCGAGTGTACATAGAAACCTGCAGAGAATCATTGCAGCAAAAATTCAGAAAAAAATACAGAAAACTCATTACCTCCTTCCCTTCATTCTCCTTTATCACAAACGAGCTGCCAAACGTCCTAACGTCAGATTCTCGAAGCAGAAAAACTCTGCCTTATCACAGATGAGTTCACTAAACGTCCCGATGTCAAATACTCGGGGGAGAAAAATTGGGGGAAAAAATCCTATAAATATTTTATACGGGATTTTCAGGTGACAGGAATTTTCCCACCCCTTTCCCATAAATCTGGATTTAATAATGACGACCTCGGTGCAACCAGCGATCCGACAGAGTGGATCAATGAACGAATGGTTACGGTCGATCAGCAGCGCTTACGAGGCCGATTCATCGGGTGTTCTATTTCTGGGCTCCATTCGGAGGTGTTTGCTCCCCCTCGAGTTCATTCTGTACCAGTCCACGGACTGGAACTCATGTTCCCCGACTCAGGACGATCCTGGCTGAGAAACATCGCTTATTGCTTAGTGCCCACGAGCAGCAATCGCTTGTCTGGGTTTGTGCGGTTTCCGCCACCCTGACCTATCCCTCGAATCATTTTGAACGTATCGTTCCCCTTCCAAGGATAAACCAGATACAAACCCTCCCCATAGTCCGGAATTTACATAAAACAAATGTCTAAAGAAACAGCCTCTAAGAAAATCAATTTCAGACCGTGATTTAAAATTTTAAATCCCAAGTAAAGCCGTCATTTTTCAACACGAAACATTTTCATCGCGCGAATCTCGAGGATGCACCAAATGACTAAACTCGCTCTCCATTAAGAAATAGCCCCTAAAAAATGGAATTAAATTCAGCCCGTTTAGGCTTGCGCCTTCGGGGTCGTGAAATTTGGGATAAAGGCACCTCCCCTTAAAAATTAATATAATATATAATAAATAGGAATTAAATTGCGGCGTGACAATCGTCAGTTTTCGGGGAAATTAGCGCGTTTCGCTCAGTCGACAACCCTGGCCAAGTTCGCTTTTAGCCCGGCGTTATTTCTGCAGGTCGGGTGGAGGGGAAAGAAAAAAAAAAGGCGACCGAAGAGAATACGCGAAAATGATATATTTGGACATGGCGCATAGTACTCGGAAAACATCGAGCTTCGTCACCTCCGAGAGTGTCATCGAGCATTGTAATTGGCAAGTGTTCCAAGTCAGTTCCATGACACCGTTTCGGTGGCCCAAAGTCATGGCGACACTATTTCGAAATCGAGTTCCTGGAAAAGAATGGTCGCCCCTGCATAGCGATTAATTTAGAGAGGTAGAGATCTATTTTCCCTCGTACTATTGACTCAAGAGGAGATATATTCTCCTCCACCTTTTAGAGGGATATTAATTAATCGAGATGTTATTACTAAGAGAGGGGAAATTCCCTCCTGTTCCCTTCGACGTCCAGGCGTCGATCAAGGAATAATATTAACGTGGATGGAAGTAGCCTCGTTAATTTCCCGTTTTATAATCAGGGACTTATCGGTATAGGAAGACGTTAGGGGAGTCCAGGGAGATCGATAACACGCGAGAAAGTAATCAGAACGAGAATACTTGAGGAAGTTTCCTCTGTCTCACCCTGGTACCGAGTCGCTCTAACCAGGTTACGTCGAAATGGAAATGTTAATGGCACGTACTCTTAAAGTACAAAATTAACACATACTCGGGAAGAAAATCCCTGATGTACGGGGTGCACTTCGTTATCAGGAGTATTACGTGTTCAGGTACTCCTGATAAGCGGTATCGCCTCTTCCTCCACGCCTTTTCCTTCATGTTCTGGTCCTCTTCGTACATAAAATGGAGACCTTGAAATCCAACGACTCGGCCTTGTGACCAAGGTCAGTGACACGTCCAGGAGAGGCTGCACTTCGCGCGTCTCCACCTCTTCGAATTGGCTTTGCTCCAAATTTCTCTCCTGCCGTGGCCCGGGAAGAAGTTCCGGCATTTCGAGTCCGTACATCATTTCTTTATCGCTTCCTGCTTATTAAATAAAAAATGGTCCCTGGTTAGTCGTCCCCGGCTCTATTTTCCCGACTTCTCGTCGATCGAGGAGGCAATCGAAGATGAAGTCTAAGACCTTCTCCAAAGGCCCTTAATTATCGCAATCACGCATGCCATTGTTTCTTGCCTCCCCAAGAATCTGGAATCCCGTCTCTCTGCACTTCTGGAGGAATAATACTTCATCTCTGTCCACTTAGATGTAAATAGCCGTAATCAATCCGCATCGGCCTCTCGAAATTCCTGAATAAGTTCCCCTTGAAAGGTTTAGAGTACAATTTCCTCGCCGACGGCGCTTTTGCACGCAGATCGAGGCTGGCCTCTTCTAAATCGACGATTTCCCTGCAAATGGGGACTTCTCGCTCGACAGACTGGTGTTAAGTAGACGATAATTCCCTGGACTCTTTGGAAACAGGAAAAACCACGAAGAGCGACGAGGACGAATTTCAAAGGCGGCGTCGAAAAGGACTCGTGTCAATTTTATAATCCACTCCGTGGGTGTACGCAATATCGATATCGCAATATTGGTGTATTATCGATCAGGGAATTTGCGTGGGGCGGATCGCGAAGGGGTGGGCCGATAAATTCGCAGGCCATGCACGATCGTGCATTGAAAATCGTCGGCAGGGACAGGAGCAGCCTCGTGCATCTTGGACAGGTCGCGAAGGCATTTGGCCCCATAACTACTGGCGCTCTACAATCGATAAAATGACCCCCATACCGAGGCATATTAATATCGGCCCGAGTATGCCGGCAATTACGGGACACATTTGACGATATTCGCGTTTCGACGAAGCCGCGACCTTTCGATCTACATGAAGAAATTTCCGCTCCTTTTGAAATTGACCTACTATAACGAACGATCCCTTAACCCTTTGCACTCCCAATTATTGAGATATCCTTTGCTTACGTCGAGTCACCCTTGACAAAGGAGAGCAAAAAGTTAAACCCGATTAAAAAAAATAAAAATGAAAATAATAAATTGGAATTGGCCAACCAACATATTTAATTTAATACATTTACTTGCGTTATACCGCCCATCGGCGTGATTTAATCAAATAGATGAAGTAATCAGAGTTTGATGAAATAGTTTTTTCTCTTCCTTCTTTTTTTTTTTATGGAGTTAATGTATTTGGATAATGGCCCACGTACCTCAAGGATTGTCGAAGGTATACATTGCAACTGGATTAAAGTCGAAGACTCGTTGCATTCCGCCGGTGCACTAGGAAGGACTCGCTCTTCTGGTAAGTCATTAAGCCGCGGTTGAACCACTGCCAGGCTTTAAATAAATAATCCTCACCTTGACTCTCTTTAAGACGATAGCACTTGGGCACTTAGGGGTATGTAATGCGCGAGATTCCCATGCTCTTTGCGAAGTGCATCTCGCCGAGTGCGTTTCCGATCTCGGGGATCGGTCAAGTGCATCTTCGTCAGATCGCGATGCACCCGGCTGCAGGACGACACGGTGCATTTTATTTGCGCTACGAATCTCTGGGCGTCCGCAGTTGGTGGGAGTGGTTACCTCATTTCAATTTGCAGCTTTATGTCCTGCAATAAATAAATTATCGAGCCCTTAACTCCGAGTACCTTGGGGAATTAATTTCGAATCTTTCAGCGAGCCTGGAAATCCTCGTTTACTTTATCAATCTCTTTTTTCAAGTCAAGGCCCGCTGAACCCGTAAAATTGCACTTCGCCCGGCAAAAGTTACTAGTACCTTGAATTATTTAACGTTATTAAGTGCGAGCCTTCGGTCCCTTTTCCATGATCCGGATTAACTCTGTTCCATTTAATTCCCAATTGTTGAATCAAATTTTAAATACCAGATGTAGATTAGTTAGAGGCATGATAAGGAAGGGAGGATAAAATTCTCCATAGTACATGCACTAGAGATTAGCAGAGATGAGTTGGGAGATTGCTCACGGGAAGGGGCGCGCGATCGCGTCCTCTGTTGCCCCCTGGTGGTGGACGCGAGCAACTAACGTACTTGCCACGTGTTACCCCTCAGTGGCGGGGCAACTCTTAGAATCTCTTATCATGCCTTGAAATTACCTAGGGAAGGTAAATTCCTGAATTTCGGATTCTCGGTAATACAGTTTGATGTTTGAACTGTCAGATGATAAATGATCATTGAAAGGAATTTTCCTCTAAAATGTCACATACCGACCCTGTTCATAATTAAGAAAAAAAGAAAAGTCAAATTCTCTCGAAGGTGTAATTAAAAATGAAATAGGCAGAACTCGACGCGCCTCGTTTTAGTGTCAGATCTTACAATTAATCATCTTTGTATCTCACCACGGGTAAATCCAACGCGAGGTTCAGTTTTAAAAAATCATCATTTTATTCTGAGCAAAGTACAAAACGCATTTCTTCGGCTTAACATCTAGCGGCGTTTCCGTCGCGTGGTCTGCACTATCGCGCGTCTCATATACATATATATTTCTTTTTTTTTTTCGACAATTCGCGAACAAAGTACGGACGCCCCGCAAGGTTTCAAATAATTTATCGTAAGGCAACTCTTCGTAATCCCTAGACACTATATTCGTCGAATATATTACGTGTGGATAATAAAATCCAGGCTCGATCTCGCCGGGTCGCAAAGCGCTTCCATCGTCGCGGTCGGATTCGTCGCAAACGTAAATCTTCGGCATACGTTATCGAATCGATAGATCCGATCGCTCATATCATAGAAAAGAAAGATAAAGAAGCGCATCCTCTCATGATTTCAACCAAATGTCCTAATCTACCCCCGACTAGACTAGAAAGCGATCATGAATCTCCGCGCGATCCTGCCTATGTACCAAGTCCTACTTCCACTATATACAATGATGCGCGGCGTCGAAATGCGAGGCTTATCAAATATCGTCACGGGGAACGGGAATAAATTAATAAATTAATCGAGACGATCGCAAGTCAATTTGTACAAAAGCGAATTAGGCGCCAAGCTGCACTCCTTCCGTCGCGAGTCATTCCCCCTCGATTGCTCATTAAAAATAAGAACACCGCACAGTAAAAATATACAATCGTGACGGTACTTCATACCTAACGCAATTTCAATCCTACATATAAAGCGACACCGTAAACAAAGCCAAAAAAATGAATTTCAACCGCTAAATCAGTCCCATGGACCGAAATTCTAACACCTGGACACGATTTAAACCATTATTTTTCAAGGTGGCTCGATTTTGAGTAACAAATTAGGAACAACTATCGCTCAGAATTCCCTCAGTACAGTGCATCGATGTCCGGGAATTATTGTCTTCGCTTAGAACGGCATAAAGTACAGTAACGATTTGCACTTGTCACGATGCAGTGCGAGGGCAATCCAGGATTTGTGCCTGAGGGTTGGAATTGATCGAGATATCGATCCAAGTCGGAGATTCCTGGTTCGGAAACTTTACAATCGATCGGATCGATACCAGGAGACAAAGGCAATAGCGGTATGGCGGCAATATCGATAATTCGGTCCGCAGTCGGAGGCTGCGTGCGTATCGTCGCGCTCCCCTCTGAGATAACGCGCTCTCCTTATCACAGAGCGGTCTCAAGGGTGGGAGCACTGGGACTGCGAGCAACATTCTGTGTAATCGCGTGCTGAGGCGATTCCGACCTTGCTCTAAAGCGCTTCTGAAAAAGTGGATTCTCAGACTGGGCTTGTCTTCCATTCCCAGGCATGGCGGCCAAAAATTGGGCCCTGGCGAGTTGATTGCTGAGTCTGCGAGATTCTACGGAATTGAGGGCAGTTTCTCTCCTGGGGGTGGACACGGAAGCTGTAGAAGCTGCTGGGAGACCATCGGCAGCATTCTGGGCAGCCTGAAGAATTTCGCTCTGATCTGCCAGAGCTTTAATCTCAGAAGCGTTCCTGTTGTTCCGGTCGAAGAGGACCTTATCGATCAGGCTCTCAGCAGTGATGTAGGACCTTGCCGATGCATCTGGGATGATGCCTAGGTTGCCTCGTTTCTCAGGCTCGGTTTTCAGCCCCTCGGAAGCCTGAGAGCTTGGCCTGGATAGTCTCTCCTGGGTCGACTCGGTATTATTCTGATCTTTTTCAATTTCTGCAGGTTTTGGGGGGACCAGATTACTGCTAAGGTCCAGCTGCCTTCTGGGGTTTAATCTGGAGATCGGGGATGGGTTCTCTGGGGACGGCTTCATAGCCTTCTCCTCGGCTGCGGCGTCCTCGATGATTGTTGATGATAAGACGTCCGATCGCGGGGTCTGGAATCTCCAGACAGATCGGGGGCTCAACACCTTCACTGGCGGGATCTGGGGGGAGATTTGCTGGGAGTGTTGCTGATATTGACATTGCTGGCGGGATAGCTTCAGTTGCTCGGCTGCTGAGAGCCGCACGGGTCCGGATTTCGAGTTCTGCTGTAAAAGGAGTCGCTTGAAATCCAAGCGAGACGTTGCTGAGGGTGGCTGGACACTTTGCGGAATCTGCAATGTCAATTTCGGAATTTTTTAAAACCAGCAACTGGTCTAATTCGTTCTTAATCTCGCAGAGGGTACGAAAAGACCAAGATAGATTTTCCTCGTCCCTATTGACATCAAATCCATATAAACTATATAAAAAATGTAATTTTTCTCTACACCTTAAAGGGGCATGAAAGTGGCATCCGAGGGGTCAATCCTTCATGACACTTTCCTTCATGAAACTGGGGGTACCGAATTGTTTCAAACCCTACCACGTGAATATGAACCCCTGAGGGAGGTCCCGACACCCATGACATTTCACTAATTACAAAAATTGTTTAAATATCTGTAAGCAAATTAAAAAAAAAAATTGAAATTTCACGCGGGTCAAGATCTTCCTTGCAGCCTCCATGTTCACGTTGTAAAGTTTGAGGCGATTCGGTGCACCGAGTTCGGCGGAAAGTTTCATAAACGATTGACTCCTCGGATGCCACTTTCATGTCCCCTTAAGACTTAAGCCTAAGTTAAAATCCATTCCGTAGATCACCGTGCTCACTTCGGGGACTTTCTGCGACTCCGGGCTCCAGCTGTGCCTGGTTCCAGGTTGCACCTGATTCAGGGAATTCGTAGACCCGAATGGCGACAGGTTTTCGCCGTCATCTCTGATGTTCAGCCTCCTCTTGGACTTGTGGATGGCGGCGAAGAGCTCCTCGCTGGACATGGTGCTCTTCGTTGGGGAGAGGATCAGGTTGGTGGGGGTGCTTCTTCCCGAAGAGGCCTGCGTGGGTGTGCTTCTTCCCGATGTCCCTGGACGTTCCATGGTCGGTCTTGGGGCATTCAGGGCCAAACGTTCGGCCACTGTCGACGTCGTGGCCCTACTGGTTGGGGTGGAAGACTTGAATCCTTGATTGCTTCCAGGTCCTATGGGGGATATGGGAGCGTGCCTCGCCGTTTCTGGGATTGGCGAGTCCCTGCGGATGTCCTGGACCGATGGGGAGGCGAAGAATCGATATCCGATCGCTGCCAGGCCGAGGGGTGTCGCGAACCTGAAAGCAACGTTCCCTCAGAACTGACCTCCAGATGGGGAAAGAACTCCTCGCCCCATAAACATTTTACTTCAACCCTAATAAGTACACCCAAACGTTCCTACTCGATTCAACAATGAGTATATAAAAATCCATGGTGGGAGGGAAATTATTAAAAAATATAATACGTACGAAACCTCTGCAACCAACTTGTGCACGCGAACAAAAGGATCCTATTAATACCGATATATCAAGATAAATGTACACTGTGACTTGCTGGACTGATGAAAAAATTTCATTGAATCAAAGAGATATCCTATTAATTCAAGTAATTATTCTTGGAATTAACGGAATTTTTTTGGTGCAATGCATTTTTTTTTTTCTTTTTTCAGGGTATATACAAATTCGTTTTACTTAATAGAGAGTCCTAACCTTCGATTCCCTCGCGGAAGGCTCTTGAGAATCCTTTTTTTGGTTTCATGGTATTTTTGATATTACATTTTTGGGCATTGTGCAATTCTCTCTCATCTGGCCTTTACCTGGTCTTAACGTCAACTGGCATGCGAGGCTGCCGGTCGTTCGGCAGCCCGCTCCTCGGCTGCAGCTGCTCGTTCCCCATTTCTGCATCTGCACCGCCCTCGGCATGTCCATGGTGTTCGAGATGCGAGCATGTGTTGGTATGTTGGCCCTGTCTCGTGGTGGCGGCAAGGGGTGTTCTTCCAAGGCCTCTGGTGATGTCAGGGGTGACACTCCTGGGGACCTCGACTTCCCTTCGAGGTCTCCTTGTCGGCAAGGTGTAAAACTGCTGCATATTCTCTGCACACCCTGGGGTGTGTTGCACTCGCGGTCCGCACTGTGAAAAATCAACACGGCTTAATAATCACTCCGAAAAAAAATGACCTCACGTAAATGCAAGTGCCAGGTGTTACAAAAATGCGGTTTACCCAACCCTTTCTTCAAAACGGAGTCGACAAGTTCTGTACCATTTTCTTTTACAATTACACAAATTTTGTACCATTTTTTTTTACAACGTAAAACGTGGTCGACTGACTATTTTTTAATTAATTATTATAGATAAATAATGAGGGAAAAAATGGTACAGGACTTTTCGATTGCATTTTCGACAAGGATAGTATGTGTCCGCCATTTTTATACCACCCTGTATCCTTTGTGATGCCTGATTGGGGTGAATTGTCTTAGAATCTTCAAAATTTCTCTTTCAAAGGCGAGATTAATTTTCCATCAAGATTTTTACCTGTTCTTGCAATGCATAGATGCGTGCATCGGGACCATTGGCGGCTCGATGGCGCTCGAAGAGTTGCTGATTCCTGTCGTAGAGGTTCCTGTCGGCGGGATGAGCTTGGAAGTGACAAGGTTGGCCCTGGTTGCAAAGATTCTCCTGATGGCTCAGACTCCGAGGATACCCTCGGCCCTGGACCTGGTGGATCCTGCGAGGATCTCCGGAAAGGGGATCGTAGACGACGTTGGGTCTATCCTGGGGACGTGGTGGACCGACGTAAGGTGGAGGTTGGGACTTGATCTCGGAGGGCACCGTCTCCGTCGAGATGGTCAGCACCGCATTATCTGTAACACACGTCGACCCGTGATAACAAACGGGGGTACGGAAATTCCAGAAAAAAAGAGATAAAACGAAGGACCTCGCGGATTTTGGGACCTCGCGCAATTCAGAGACTCGTCAAAGTGGCCGGAAGCTTCAAACTCGTGGAAATTGCGTGCAAAAGCATCAGCAAAAGCAAAAACGATGCATGGACCGGTACACCTGGCGTCGATTACGTCGATTTACTCGAGATAATAAAACTGAGAGGGACAAGATTTTCTGGATAATTTTTTTCTCGTTGTCACCTCTCGATCGGACTCCGAGAAAATTTCGATTCTCGTCCCGGGCAAAATGTGGGATTTTTTTTTTGTTACTTTGTGCGGAGTATGTAATGTTTTATTCATTATTGAAACGAGCATTGATCGACGTGATCGGCGACAAGTTCTGGATATTAGCGTCATGTGAGAAAAAAAATGTACTCACCGAGCATGGAGCATGGAACTATGAGAGGTAGGTGTTACTATGGGGATGCCACACGCACGAGATGCATTTCTGTCTATGTCTATTGCACGTACACGTAACACAAGAGAGCAACGAGGTGTAAGTGAAGTGTGGAGTTTAGGGAAATTCAGAACGCGGCTAAAATCGGGTTAATTTATGCCAAATTAGTGCCAGATAAATTCTGCTTAATAATCTGAATTTGATTTTAGTCTCTATGATGACCATTAGATCACTTGCTCGAAGCATTGATTTAGCCCAAGGGTTGCAGAGCTCGTACAAATAGTCATTAAAAATCCCAATCAGAGGTCCAATTATCGTTACGATTGATAAGGAAATTACAGCTTACATATTTCCTCCTCTTTCCTACCTTACGCGTGATGGAACTTTTAATAACAATTTGCTCACTCGGGGATGCTTCGAAAAAGCGGCGCTTTTGCGAAATGAAGAAAAAAAAATATTAAAAGTACAACAAAACCGGGAATACAATCCTCGCGATTTTTCACGACGGGTGAAATTTCAAGCGACCATTGTTTCCGTGTAAAATGGGACTGTCGGCATTGTTTACTCCACAGCAAACGCGTGCACACGGAAAGTGAAAAGTGGTGAAGGTGTGAGAGAGACAGAAAAGAGAGAGAAAGAGAGAACACATATACAGTGAGTGCAGGTGAGTGACAAAATGACAAAAAATGCAGGTGCAGTTTCCATAAAAAATCGTGTCTATTCACATACACAAGTCGCAGCGGTTAAAAAACAAAAGGACATTCGCCCGTAGACAAAAGGAGCGATTTATGTACAGAAGGGGACGAGGATCGATCTTCTTCCTCGACTAAGACATATACATATTTATAGGAGCATACGCATACATACGACCGAGCTTACATAAAAAGACACTATTTACATGTACATCATTTGCCTTTACATGTCGCAAACAATTAGCTGCATGCCCTCCAGGTTGCAAGTACGTCCCTAAGAATTAGTCGCAAGTGATTAATGGTCGCGATTCGATAACGTGAGCCCTCGATAATCGATTACCGATCATTGCGTCAATATTGGCCCCTAATAACTTTGGGTTATCCGATCCGAAAAAGTTAAGACACGCCGGCGAAATAGTTAGTCCTTGTTAGTCGCTGTTAAGATGCTACTTACAACGCTAGGCGAGCACGAGTTCTTTTAATAACACTAATATTAACATTGAAAAATGGAAAATGTGCGCTTCGCCTGAATTTTGACGTTCCAATCGCCGCGGACGAGCACGGATCGACTTGCTATTTATTTATTGTAACGCTTTTAATTTAATGTAATTTGTTGCAACAAGTTTTCCTTCCTTCGTGCTCGTCCGCAGAAATGCCGGACCCGAATCCTCCTGATTACAATATTTACAATCTCTTTTTTATTATGCGTTTCTATCGGCCGGAATATTAAGCACGGTACACCTTTTCCTTTCTTAAAACGTGATTCAAGCCTTTCCACGTTTTTGGGAAAATTTTTAATGCGATTTACAAGCTAGCTTCCGGTTGGGGACGTTGCTTTCGGCTGTACCTTTTTTAAGTGAACACACTTATTGGACGGATATCGATTCCCGATCGATGACGAGCTCCAACCCTTAGGATCGTTCGATCGGAATAAATCTTGTACATGGGTAATTAACTAGAAAAATGTCTAAACTACAAAATACTTGCAGTTTCTGCACGTAAATCCCTAAAATCATGGAATGTCTCAGGTTGGACAATTACCAATGAGATAAGAGTCAAATGTCACGTTTCGATAAGTAACGTACGGAATCTTACTAACATTGTTTGTACTCACTTGAATGCCTACTTGATAATTCCTAATACGAATGAAAGGTACTTGAACGAGCGAATGATAAGGGCAATCGGTACGTCGACCTTATCACCGAAGTTTCTCGCTAACTCTTGAGAATCATTTCGCGATTAACACGAGAATTCTTCGAGATTAATTCCTGGCAGCTGTGATCAGATTTCCTCTTAAAAAAAAAAAATAAATCTACAGGGCGCAATTAATGCTATCATGAGATGATAAGATATCACGGACTGAGCCGCGAATTTCCCACGCGAGGCGCATCATTAGAGGAGATAACTTGCCTAATTTTTTAAACAACTCCGAAATTAAGAATTCCCAGCATTTTAAAAATCTCTACACAATTCCGGGAAATTTTAGAAGCGTATAAAAAAAATAATTAACAAATTGTAGGTCGTGAGAAAAATTGAATTTCCTACAAATTTTATGAATAATTCTCACGCGGGGAAGGTCTTATTAAACAATTAATCGCAGAATTTTTTTTCCCGAGTGGTCTACTTTTTCTGCACTGATTACGCGGGATTCTTATCAAGGAAGAAATTGAATCTCGCGTGAGGAGGCCTCACTGGGCCAAACAGTTTATTTTAAACAACCGGTGATAAAGAGACACCCTATCAGCTATTGCAGTGTGCCTTGCCACTTGCGATAAGGTGATTTCATTAAACAGAGGCTTATCATGCACACGACTGCGTTTCGTAACGATGCAAAAATTTCGGAGGGGATATTATTTAATACTGAACGTACCACGCTCTGCTAATTACATAACAACAGGCGATGATGTTGAATAAAAATTGTTTAATGCTTTCAGTCCGAATTTGGATATTTGCAGGTCGGAGCGTATGATTCACTCGAGTTGTTTTATTCTGAATATCGTCACTTCTATTTCCGCTATTACTATGACTGATCGGTCCTCTTATCGCCCATTTATCAGTGGATTATCTAAAATCCAAATTACGTTTCGAAACGACATTCAAATTAAACAAGATCATCGGTTCAGAGATCAGGCCACGTCACATCTGTCGCTGTCATCGAGCGTCTAATCAGAAAAATCGACACTAATTTACCGAGCAGTCGTTAAGACGCTCTTTAAATGGTTTAATTAACGGATTTAATTGTCGAGATCGTGGCTAAACTTTTTTATCTTTTTGACGCCTATTACGAGATTGCGGTAAAATTTCTCGATATCCCGGGTTCAAGGGTTACCACCTTTCGCGCCATTTTGTCTATTACGAGTAGATGGGAACTCTGAATTTTCCTCTGGTCCACCTTAATGCAGGAAAAATCATATTCCTCGTAAACTAAATGCGCGACAATCCCGGAATTTCCCCCGGTTTTGTCAATCTCCCGTACATAGACGTAACAAAGAAAAGAGATTACGGCCAATCGAAGGAGCGGAAAATTATAGAATGACGCGTCTCGCCGATACTTTAATTTCCCCAAGAAGAAGTGGTCTACTCGAGACGAGCCAATGTCAGCGAAGGCAACAAAATACAAGCCGATAAGTTATCCGCGAAAGAAAGCAACATTCTCGGTTTCTCCGCGTCGGCTAATATTAAACAAATTATCGAAGTCGCCTGAGGTGAGGTCGACTATCGCCTCGAATTGACAAACCGACCGAAGCATCGTGCAAGTAATGATCCCAACGGTTAAACAATTATTCCCCAAGTGCGGAGAATTCTTTCTTAACAATAGCTCATTATCAGTGATATTTTTAATCCCAGCCGCTAGCAATAAACATGCCATATTAGCGAGTCTCGATTTTTCCTCTCGCAATCATTCGGATTCAAATCCCAAGGATGAAGTCTCCGAGATAGAATATTTTCATAACGATACCGATTTTATTGCTTTTCAGAACTCGATCGCGTATAATTGATCTCCGCACTCTTTAAGAGTATGCATTTGGCGAAAAGATTAGTACCCTGATTTTTCTTTTTTCTTTTTTCTTTTCTATGGAATATTTATGTTAAAAAGATCTAACTTACGGGGTCTTCGCGTAGCCAAGAAGAGGAGATGCCTGGCCAACATGGCGGAGATTGGATTTCCTCAGGAGCAAAAGAGAGAACTACTGAGGCCTCGCCAATCAGTCTCGAGTTATCTGTCTGGCGACCGTCTGTCTACCGACTGCGGTTTCCCATCTTCGTTATCACTGTTATCACGGCCGGCCAAGGAGAGGCGAAATTTCCTGAAGCCTCGCGAGCGTCTCTCGAGGTCGCTCAAAATTCGGTGAAAAAGTGTAGTCTAGAGAGCACTGTGCACTTCGCGATTCGATAGCTCGACCTGCTGCGCTTGTTGCTCAGGTCGCTCTTCCTGAGGGTGGCATCCCTTACCCCGAAGAGCACCTTCGACCCCCGAGGATCCTGACACCTCGACCCGCGATTAGGGTGCGCTCTCCGGCCCCCTGACTTTCGTAACATTTGACGAGGCCTAGCTCAAATCGACTCAAAAAACGGACCCCGACCCTCCAGTCCCAAAAAGGACCCCAAAGAACCGGGATTTTCCGTCCTGAGCACCCAAAAAGAGCGCCGAAAATCCCCGAAGAGCGTCAACGACCTCCGTACTCTCAGCGTTTTCCCACGGTAAAAAATTCACCCTCGAGTATTAATCCCTCGAAGATTAATCTGCACCACTCGAGATCGTTCCTCCTTCACTTTGTACGACTGAAGAAAATCTAAGAAAAATTCTAATCCCGATTTGGGGGAGGAATTTTGCAGTTCTTTACGAAGGCTCGATGATACGGCTCCGAAACCTGAAGAGCGACAACGACCTCCGCGCTCTCAGTTTTTTTACACGGTAAAAAATTCACAATCGAGTATTAATCCCTCGAGAGTTTTGATCTACACCACTCGAGATCGTCCCTCCTTCACTTTGTGCGATTGAAGAAAATCTAAGAAAAATTCTAATCCCGATTTGGGGGAGGAATTCTGCAGGTCTTTACGAAGGCTCGATGATACGGCTCCGAAACCGATCGAAGATGCTTGATGGCGTCTTATGGGGTTATTAGAACCGTTTATCGACGTGATGAGGTTTGTACGATTTATGCTCGCGACTTTTATGCCAGGTCGCTGACGATTCGACGGTTCGCACGAGATGCGGATTGTCCGACTGGGAGTCGCTTCTCTCGAGAAAACTATTTAAGCGCGATTCGAGGAAGAGCCCTGGCCGAGAGGCCGAGTGGTGGTAGGGATTTTTCTTTATCTGGTAGCATCGTCCGGGATAAACATCCACCGACTGACGCAACATCAGTTGGTTATTGAGCCAGCGACTAATCGCGGTGATAAGGGATAGTTTGCTGTCCATTGGGGGCCTCCGTGGACTTTTCCATCTCCCCCTCGGCGCTTCCGACACCCCCCGGCCATCCCAGGAATAATGCGGTCACGAGTTGATTTTTCAAAATGCGCTGATAAGGGCGATCGTGCTATCAAAGGGGGCCTTAAAATCTGGATATTTTTAAACCCAATAAAGAGCTAACGAACGCTCTCAATGATAATCCCTAATCCAACGGCTCGAAAATGGCTAACATATCCGGATAAATCTGAAATAATTCATTTACCCCGTAATTGGAAATTTATTAATTTCGTTCATTGCGACCACGTAAATGACGGTATTTGGAAGGGGTGAGAATTTTTAATATCGAATTATTCAGGCACAACGGGCATTAATCTTGCAATTTACACGTCGAGCTGCAATTCCTGTTTACCGTATTCCACGGGAATTGTTTACAATAATTTATATAATCGTGGAGTGTCATGGTAACAGGTCAAGCGATTTCAAAACGGACTTTTTTCTTGTGTGGAAATATGGAGGGTCAAATATTTGCTCTCACGTGGCTGGGGACAATAGATCTTCTAACGAGGATACGTTATCCGTCCTCGCCGCTAAAAATCGTTGTTCGTTGGGGTTGCTAGTCCCCGGTTTCTCGTAATCACTGAAACTCATTGAACTCGGAAATATTCCACTCCCCCTGATAAGACCGCCAAGAGCGAGTCGCGTTATCACGCGAGTATCGAGGGGGGTTTTTGCATTAGGAGCGCAGCTGCTGAAGATCAAACAAACGTCGCCGCGAATCCCGTGCTGGGCTTCGAAAACGTGACTCTTATCACTGGTTTATCATCCCGACGTGACAGTGATGCGCCACAGTAATTCATCTCGGGGTAATTAATTAATTCCTCGATTTGGCAATTCGCAAATCCACAGTGGAGGGTGCGCAAACTCGCCCCCAGGTTCTACGCTAAAAATGCGTATCTCAATTTTTTCTCAGCGGCTATTTTAATCATTTAAAATTGTCACCACTCGTTTTAACAATCTATCGCCAGGTTCTCTCGAGTCGTGCTCTAGTTTCGCATCATTTATTCTCATTGTTCTCAAGCTTTTCAGCAGAAACGTACCGGGATCGTGCTGTATCTATTTGGGGCGATTACGTGCTGCCTCCCGTGTTTTAGAGCACTTGCATTATCGGGGAGCAGCATCGCTCGAAAGTAGAGCAACGAGCACATTATCGGGAACAAGAGGACCTCTGTCTCGGAAGAGCGATTCGAGATATCTCCTGAATTCATTTGTCGCATCCTCATCACGCGACCGCTCTTAGATGACTTCATCGTCTTCTTCCACCCAGCATCCGAAGACGGACTGAGAGCCGCATTGAGTATGAGCATGTTTATAATTTCCACATTGTCATTGAAAACTTTGCCCAGTTTCATAAATCCCTCATTTGTCCGGCGAGCTATCGAGGTCCTGTACAAAGATGCGCTCTATATCTGGGAAGAGTCACGATTTTTCCCACCGCCTGTATCATCATCGATAGGATTATCCGTGATCTATGGAATACACGTTACATAAGTGATCGCCGATTGCTCTTGTTTCCATGCTGACTCGAGCCCGTTCATTAAAAATAGACGGTTGTTTGTCGATAGATATGAATAAATTAAGTCGCGTTTAATATCGGTAATGCGTTCTCGCAGCGTCAGTTCCTTTGTAAAAGTGAAATTTCCAGAATTCGTAAAATTTCACCAGATCTCGGTGTCGTTCCCGGAATATTTAAGGACCCTGGCAGGTTCCAGATCCTGGGCCCTTGGTCTAGGACTTGTGGGGACGATAGCGATGGGTATGGACGGTGATAAGCTATCATCGAACTCCGAGACCCCATCGGTTCTAGGCTCAGGACTGGACACGGTCTCCGGGTAGTTGATCCTTTCCTTGAGCAGCTCCTCCTGCAGCTCCTCCGAAGGTGTCCTGAAGATCTTCGAGGTCTTCTCCGCGTTCCCCGAGAACTTCTTGATGAACATTATGGGACTGTTCGCCATCCTGTAGCTCTCGCTACGCTTCACCTTGCGGTCCACCTTGTTCACGTCAGGTCTTTCAGGGTTCAAATACGGATTAAGGTTCGCAGGATCCGAACAACCTGATTCCTGACTGGGATCGATTCGATCAACCGACTTGAGAACACCTCCATTGGTCTTCCCATCATCCAAGGGGTGGTTCTTAGAATTCTCGCTCTTCCTACAGAAGTTCGGAGTATCCAGATCGGACTCCAGTAATTTCCTGCCCAGCTTGGGAGTCGCTCCACTCTGTTTGAAGCTAGGTGGACAGAGAACGGATTTTTCGAAGGCGAGCCTGGAGCTTGCTCGATCGGCCATCTTCGGAGAGGTCGTCAAGGGTGATCTGGATTTCGCCCTGGTGGAGGCCTGAGCCTCGACGTCGAGGTCGCTCGTCTTGGTATCAGTCTGTGGTGGGTGGTTCTCGTCACCCTGAAGACCCACCAGGTGTCTGGTGGTCCTGCTCGTCCTGGGGATCGAGATCCTAGGGTTGGAGCACCTGTTGATCGGGGTCAGAGCGCCAGCGCTCGACCTTGAAGAGAGTTTTCCCTGGCAAGTGGCCCTGGCCGAAAGCAACGGGTTCCCAGGGTCTGAGACCACCTCGGGGATCTCGGACCGAATCTCGTCCTTGACGAGGGTGCGACTTAGCCTAGAGGTGCTGGTGCAATGGTCAGTGCTCGCGCAGGGTGGTCGGCTCTTACCTTCGTCGGCTTGCACGTTGACATAAGCCCCGCGAACCTGTCCGTGTACCCTGGTGGGACTCTTCGGGCCCGTCACCGTGCTCGAGGTCCTCGCACAATCCGGACTGGCCGGTCGGTCCGGACCCTGAAGAGCTCGGACTACCTTACCCAACTGTGGGGACGTCGACGCCCTGGCTCCCCCGTCCACAGCGTCAGAGGAGCTCTTCGTCACAGGGCGGACAGTGGTCTGAGGTCGATGCAGAAGAGGCGACCGGGTAGGAGATGCTCCTTCCTTGACGAACACCCCTGTATAAAATAAAGTACATGAAGTCCCTCTTCAAGGTTCCCCCGAAACCAAGATCTCCACCTCTACTGACCCGGATTGAACGTGGTGTGCGCTCCCTTCCTCCTCTTCAAGCTGTCCGAGGAGTACACCACCTTGCCCTCCGAGTCCAGAGTCACTTTAGCTCCCTGTCTCCTCCTCTCCAGGGAGGAGTCCGGCTTCTTGGGCAGCTCGCTCAGACTAACGTACTCGGCATCCTTCCTGAAGAGGTCCGAATTCGCATACGTAGCTGTAGAGCGAATGGCCGTCGAAGGGGAGCTCTCTGGTCGCTTGTCGTTGTTGTTCCTCACGTCGGCTATGGTGACATAGTCGCCGGAGTCCGCGCACGCCGTTTCCTGGACAGCGTTCTTCGACAAGTTCTTCCTAGCCCCTGGGAGCACACCACGCAATTTCCCCAGGACTCCACTCAGTGGACTGACCTTAGCAGGCCCCACATGGGAGGTGGACGTTTGACCCGAAGTCCTGTCGTTCTGGGTTTGAGTCGTGGAGGGCAGAACTGTCTGGACCGTAGCATAGAGGTTCTTATCCTGCCCGTTGATCACCTCCATCTTGGAGGTCCCCACGGTGGCGGACATCAGAATCGACCCTGGTCCCTGTACCTCCTTGGACCCTTCCTTCCGCTTCTCGAGGTGTTCTTCGGGCTCCCTGGCGGTCTCGTCATCGGACGCCGGAGGAGTTATGACGCACATGGACGGAATGCGACTGGTGTTGATGGCAGTCTTGGAGCGGATCCTCTCGATCCTTTCGCAACCCTCCAGGTCGCTGGACTCGGAGTACTCGAACTCTGAACAGGACCTTCCGGTACACGCTGGACTGGACGCCGACTCCACGGGAGAGGAAGACGTGTTGTGGCCGCTGTCCGGGGACTCGCCGCCATTTTGGTTCTGCCCGTGCACCTGGAAACGTCTGGTTTTAGCCCACCTCTTCAGGGAATCTCTCAAGGTAACTCTTACCAAGGCCACCACCGTCAAGCTGGACTTCCTTTCTGGCGGAGGTGGAGCCATCAGTGCCGTGCAAACGGTTCCGGCAGAGCTGGTGGTCGTCGACGTGGAACCTCTGCCGAATAACTCGTACTCGTTCTCCACGACAGGCGAGGTGGGGTCCGAATTCACGTCGTTAGACTTTGTCAAAGGACTCTGCGGGACCGGCTCTTCCTCCCTCAGGGTCTTCAAGCCGGAGTCCATGTGGAAGGACGTGTAATACCCCTCGGTGTCGCAGGAGTACACGGATGATGTTTCTCCGTCGTCCGAAAACGGCACTGTTGCGATGTCCTGAATGATGTCCGGGGTCAAGGTACCCTCCGAGGTCACCGAAGAGGATGCCGAGGTGTCGCGTCCCTTCAGTCTTCGGACGTGACTCAGGGATGTCGAGGATGTGCCGATGGACGCTGTGGTCGTCGACCTGGAATTCAAATGTTAAATTAAACTTAATCTCAAAGTACTACTTGACCTGTACCAGGTCTGTAGCGACTCTTAGGGTCACATTTTTAGGTGGAAATAATTTCAAGGCATTCACAAGCGTTCTCCAAAATGGCCGCACCTCGGCTGGTGCGTCGTCGTCGTCGTCTCACTTCCGATGCTGGCTCTTCCGCTTTCGGATGATGCGCTCCAGTTTCCAGAACTCGAGTGCGGGGCATCATCTCTACCGTTTCCTTTCCTGCGTTCCCTCCTTTGTGCCGCACTTTCTCGGAGCTTTACGCTAGGTTGCCTTTCCGTGCTCGGCACGGAAACGGGGATGCTGGACGTGCTCTTCCCGCTGGAGCTGGAGGAGCTGGGCTTCCTCTCGTGGGATTTCTCCTTCCTGCGCCTGGAAGAGACGGTCTCGTAGATGTTGATCTCTTCAGGGTCCCTGGCCTGGGCGGTATCCGACGTCCTCTCCTGGTCGGAACTCGCGGTCGGGACCTCGGAGTCCAGCTGTTGAGAACTCTGGCTGGACTTGGGACTGATCAGCTTCAATCTGGACATGCCCCACGCCTTCAGGGTGTTGAAGTGCGACTTCTTCTCCCCCGAGGACTCCTTTTTAGACCCCAGGATGTCCGTACTTGCCGAACGGTGCGCTCTGGGAGCTGCACCTGCGAGCAGCTCTTCGGGTTCGTCCGCAGTCGTCTCCCTAAAATTAAATGCAAGCGTCAATCCAACTCCAACGAAATAGAATATAAATGAAATCCCCAACATCCAGGGATCATATTAATTAAAGGTACATGCAAGTCTGGATAAACTCTAAGTCATGATTTCAAAGTGTTGGAAGATAGTCGGAGCAAATGGGATACTGGAGACGAGATTTAATGGCCTTATCAAAACTGGAGGAAGGCACGTGAATACAGGGAATGATCCAGCCTAGAAATAGATAGACGCTAGATGGAGATGCCTGGACCCTGAAGACCTCCAGAGAGCTCTTTTCCAGCGGTTCGAAGACCTTCGAGGGATCGCAGGACTTTATCGAGCGTGACGGATCGGCCGATTCCTCCGTACCGGCATTCCACGTTTACGTTCAAGGACGAAGGAGCTAGGACAAAGGATCGCGCCGCTCATGGCACGGCCTTGGATCCTGGCACGGGATCATTAAGCTCCAGATGATCTATGAACATGAACACGCGTTCGAAACTGACCCTCCGATCGCTTGGCGAATCTCTTTCTGATCGGTCCCTGCGATCGTGTTTCGTCTCTTCCCCCTGGGTCTTCTGGGTCTGGACCTCCTCTTCACAGCTGCGTCCTGGCTCTCGGGTCCTGCCAAGAGCGACCTCCTCCTCATCGACATCCTTTCGAAGCCTCTTCCGCTCACGTCCACCGCCACGATCTCTGCAGGGAACCTGGGGAGTTCGCAAATTGACACTTATTTCCGGATCTTTCTCTGGAGAATTATGAATGAAAAAATTCTCTAAATTTAGACATTCTTACTTGAGGGCCACCGCCTGCACCTGCTCTTCAGGGCTTGGCAGCTTGTGGTCCACGGCGTCGTCGCCGTCGACGTCGCTCAGGATCCTGGACATACAATCTGGAGCTACCGTCACGTCGCCCAATGCCTCCGTCGAGGTCCATCTTCGAAGGTCCTCGATGGCTGCCGGCTGGAATAGAAAAAAAATTCAGGGTTTCAGAAAATTCAGACACTTTTGCCCTGCTTTCGCCGATCTCCATGATGTGGTTATTGGGGTGGAAAGGCAACCGCGAGAAAAGCGGCCGAAGGTGTCGCGTTTCGCGCACCGCTCATTGTTGTCGGGTGTCGTTCTTGTCGGGCTTAAACTGGGTTTTCATACATCGTGCTCGAGGCGACATATTGCATTACCGACAGGTTCCTTTCCACCTCGGGGACGTTCCTCGCCTTGGAGGTACCCGGGACGCGATCGTCACGCACCGAGCCAAGTTCCGCACAGGTGCGGAGAGAACTCGACGATTGACTTTGAGATGCTCGATGTCGGTGCATCGAGAAAAGGAGCGCAAAATCTGGAATTAACCTTCTATAACTTAATTTATTTCTTCAAGCCAATTTATTCTTTTTTAGGAATTTATTTTTTATATACAAATTCCTTAACCAGATAGGAGTGGGACAATAATTAAGTTGTGAGGAAAAATGAAAAGAAACGAAATACTGATATACCGGGACGTGACTTCAAATCCCATGAGGTTGTAGACGGTGAACTATATCGAAATATTCTGAATTAATATCCTTCTAGGCCCTTATGGATTAATTTATCGAATTTCAAGTATAGCCGTCCCCGGTGCAACGCATTCAGTGAACATTGGACAGATCTGCCGATTTTTCGAAACTGGTCCTTCAATTGACACCGCGATGGCCACGATCAATATTCCATGATGAAAAATTAAAAACGGACGGCTATGATCTATATTCCGCGATGAAAAATTAGAAACGCACATTTTTCTATACCTCTATGAATATATATATCGAGTTTCGAGTGTAGTCGTCCCCAACTCGACGCATCCGGTGGATAAAAATTGGACAGGCCGGTTTTTCGGAGCTGGTCGTCCCGTTGACACCGCAACGGCCATGACCAATATTCCTCAGGGTCGGGAGACGAGAGTGAAGGGTGTCCGCGATTTAATTCACGAAATAAACTGCGCCGATTTGAGCCTCGCCTCGGCTCGAATAATCTGAGCTCCGAATCGCGTTCGGGGACCAAGATGTCGGCGAGCGGCAGTGATTTACCGGGAGGAGCTCGCGGATGTAAATTTCTGCCGTGGCACCGATAAATAATCCCGATAATCTCGGGCGACCCGGTGGTCCCGCGAGGACGTTGTCAAGACCTCGGGGTGAATTTCAATTTAGATACGAACACCCGGAGGCTTAAGGCCTGATTGCGCGAGATCTTTATCCGGCCGGCAAAGACGCGGCCCTCTTCTTGGTAGCGCCGAGAACCTCCTTGAAGAAATCTTTACGGCTAGGTCAGTCTGGGCACTTCCATTATAAATTTCAGACGGTATTTACGATTATCCGCGGCGAATTCCCTTCCGTTTGATAGCGACTCGCCGGAAATAACGAAATTACGGAGCCCTTCCAGCCACCGACGCGGGATCCAAAATGGCCGCCGTACCAAGATGGCGTCCATTCGCCCCGCTGGGTAATGTAGCGCACTTTTAAACCCTAACGAGGGCACACCTCGAGGGAGGAATTACGGCGATTGGATTAATATCCTCTTCCCTTTTATCTTTGGCTTTTATTTTCGCTGGGTAGGGGAATTAAACGCGGCCACGAGGCTCGACAAGATGTCCGCCCTCGGTGCAGCTGCGAGTTCGGATAATCGGGCGCATTAACGTCCATTTTGCGAGACGTACCTCGACGTGGGGCCAGGTGTTGGTGGAAAAATCGGAAAGCCGCCCTCTAATCGCCGATGGATGACTCACGGCCATCCGGAATGGCCGCCATCAGGAAATTAGGCAATAATTCCGACAATCGCGTGATTCCGACTCCGCTCGCCGGCTCGTCCGCATGCAAAAAAGGCGTCTTTTTACCGCCGCCGTAATTTACAGCGGGCATTAACGCACCGCGCCATTGCCCTTGACGTTTAAGGCTGCCTTACAAGGATCCAAACGGACCGTATCTCCTCGCGGGAGTATCAATGCAACATTCTTGACAGGGAGATAAAAACGTGCCAGTTTCGACTACCACTTAATCCCCCTCCACTTATCGAGGATCCCGCGAAAATGATCGGTCTTATCGTCCTTATCGTCGTTAACCTTCCTCGAATGTCCTACCGAAATTACCTAATGAATTGTACAGACACTCCTTCGAGCCTTATTTCTCAAATTCTTTTTCGAGGACATTCATTCCAGGATTCGCCGTCTACATTCTCCGAACACCCTTTGAAAATTTCTTAATGAATTGTAAAGTTGCTGTCAAGCCTTATTTCTGAAGGATTTTTTTTTTCCGGGAAATTCATTTCAGGATTCGCTCGCCAAACATCCTCTATATTCTCCAAACATCTTTTCGAAATTTCCTAACCTATTGTAAAGTCTCTTTTAGCCAGGTATGAATTAAGAATTTCCTTTCGCAAGATTCGTTCCAGGATTCGTTATTAAATCGAGGGGCGCGGGTGGAGCGACCTTAAGGCGATCCTGCAGGACTCGCCGCAGCTGGCGAGTACGCAGGATCACGCCATTGCGTCCAGGATTCCTCTCGGCCCGTGGGGTATACGTCCGACCTTAAGTCCTTCGGGTCCATTAGCGCCGACGTGGCAGGTAACCTTCGGAGGAAAGTCCAGGGGGAAAGGAAAGGACGACCGAGTCCTGCCGCGCGAGAGAGAGGGACGCACCCGAAGGAGCAACCTGACCGCTCGTCCTTGTCCGCTGCAGTCTCTACGGGATGTCCATTAAGTCCACAAAGGGACGGCCGTGCTCGAACGTGCCTTTCCCTTTGCGATTCTTCACAGAAAAGCCGAACTCCCTTTTTTCGCATTCCAGGATGGCCGTCCCGAGGGAGCGACAGGTCCTTGGGAGCGGGGTCCTGGGAAAGCGGAAGCCACCGAGGATTTTCCCGGAACGTGGCCGAGATTCCTCGAGGAACAGGTATCCGACCCTGGAGGGATTTCAGGGCAATCAGCTGATCTCTTCCCTTATCACCTGTACCTCCAGGACCTCTTCCAAGGACACCCGGTAGACGCCCTTGTTTTATGGCTACGCACACTAAGCAGTCCTTAGGGGCCTTAAGCCTTCCCCTGCGAGGCCGGCAACGAGGAGGTCGCTGCTGATCGTCTTCTCGGGTTGCCTTGAATTTCTCGTCGTTATCTCTCTCCTCCGTTTTCCATTTTTTCTCCCTCTTTCCTCAAACCTATATGTTTAACCTCGTCTACGCGTTCCTGGAGAGCTTTCGGTGCACCTCAATTTACGCGGAGCACCCTTCCCCCGTGGACTGGTTTTACGCGGGACGGAAATCCAGTAAAGTCGGCCAGGACAAAAGAAACATTGGAAATGGAAATCACGTAATTGCGGTATAATTTGCCGCGTAGAAAAAAAGCGACGCGTAAACTGAGGGAGAGTGTATTTCAATTTCTCGGCCTTTTTAACGGGTTTCACTCTTGACGGGGCCTTTCGACACCTCGAAAGAGACACGCCTCGACCTCGAGGTCGAGAAGTGCCCTTCGACCTTTGGGACCAAAGTTCCGAATCGTTCCGTTCCGAAATCGTCGTTCGACTCTTCGCCGAGTGGCGGCGCCGCTGTCGGTGGGCCTCGCAAGGAACTGCGTCGATTCATCTTCCCGGCTTCTCGTGACATCTCTCATTCAACCTGTTCTGCCGAGCTCGCTCTTCTACCCCGTTGGCCAACCTTCGAGTGAAGGTACCAACCTCGCCACCAACACCTGCGCCAGGTACGTAACCTCGGGCCAAATCTAATCCATTGTGGACCCCAGACGACGCGACCTGAACAGGTGTGCCCTCCGATGAGAAGGGCCCCGAGAATTCCTGCCTCTTTCGCAACTTTCCTCCTACTTTCGCAACGTTTCCATCGCTCTTCTCTTCCTACATTTCTTGCCGCCGAAAGTTTCAGAGGGGCGGAAGGCGTATCGAAGCGTCGCATCTTGCGGCACTGACCATTTCCCGAACTTTCAAGATAGAAACTCCGAAAGAGGCCTTATCTACTCCGAGAGAAGGAATTCATTGAACCAGAGATATTTCGATAATTCAAGGAATTTCTCTCGAACTCAAATGAATCTTCATCGTTTCGAAGAAACATCCTATTCATTCGAAGCTTCAGTCTAATTCCTGGAGTCGTGAAAATATTTCCTTGGTTCATTGAAATTTCTTTTTTCTCGGTGTTGGGCTCGGAAGTTTAGAGGAGAAATCCCCAGGGTATTTTCGGGGACTTGATTGGAATTATGAATATTTTTATCAGAGTTTTGGTGTTATCGGAATTTGAGTTAGAGGTCGAGAGGTGGACTCACCATTCTGGACTCGATGTCCAGGCTTTGATCTCGTCTTCTCTTGCCGAGCACCGGAGTGCAGAGGAACATATCCAGGGAACTGCCATCCTGGCCTCTCCTGAGGGAATCCAAACTCCTGACAGCGACTATCGCTGCTGCTTCGTATAGTTCGCTTAGAGCCTTCGGCCTGGAATTCGACGTGAAGAGCGACGTCGACGGCTCGTTCGTTACATGGAAATGCTCCGTTCTGGTGGCGAAGGTGCAGATGTCGGACTCAGCTGGAAATTAGAATTAATATCGAATTAAATACACGTTAATTTATCTCCGGAACATGTACGCCATATTTTCATATTAATTTCATAATTCAGAATGAATTATACGACGTAACGCGGAGGATCAACGGCAATGTCGAGAATGTTAATAAATGTAGGAATTTTCAACGGGATTTTCTTGAAATGCGTACGGATATTTTGAACGGCGTGCATTTTTTTTTTTAATTAAAAAATCCAGGGTTGGTGATACGATGCAACGTGAGGGATCTGCAGAAATGTCGATAACGGGAGTCGCCAGTTTTATGCGAGACGTTTGGATATAGAAAAATCGGCATTCCAGGAATCTCACGGCTGCCGAATCGAGGTCGGCGGCGATCGATCCGGATTCCCACGGTGTTTGTTAAACAGCCTTCGGCTTTCGAGGGAAACCGGAATTCCAGTTCCGCCCATGTAGACACCGGGCCAGCCCGAAATTCCCGATCGGCCGAACCTGTCGCCCGAAACCGGCGATGCCGCTGAAATTCCATCGGCCGGTAAGGACGTTAAGTGGATAATAAATTGGCCGGACAATACAGGAACATGTTCCATCGAAACGGAGCCGCCCCCCTGCCGATGCTCTCCATAAACCTGATCCCCAGAGGCGAGGCACTTACCGGAGTTGCATCGACCTTTCATTTCGGTTTTCTGACCGGCGAGTGCAATTTCGTATGCAATTTCGCCTTCCTTATCTAGCGGGTCTCGTTTCCACGACACCCGCTGGCCCCTTCGAGTTGAATCGGCCAAAAATCAACCGACCGAATAAATTATTCCGATTTTTCCCACGGAAGATTTCATGCTCTTTTCTAATTAAATCCTTTCTCCTTCCACACACCATTTTACAGGGTTATCAAAACTTAGAGGGAAGTCTGGGGTTAAAATTGTAGGTTACGTGGACGTGAAGGGAAAACAAGTTTGTTTAAAAAGAGCGTCCAATCTGGAGGAGCAAAATCGGCGGTACATTTCTGGGGAACTTGGTAATTGTCGATTACCAATTGCCGATTGACTCGGTGAAGTAGAGATACCCCTTCGACTTGATGTCGCAGGACACCAAAATACACGGCATAAATAGAGTACGGGGTGTACAGAGGGAGGTCAATTTCGCGTGAAAGAAATCGAGTTGGGCAACGCTCCTAATTGGTGGCTTTTCATCGTCCTGTCGAGCAGACTCCTCGACAATAGTAGGATGTTTTTCCAAAGCACCCCTGGCGACTATCGGGGGCGCGCCTTCATTGTTTCCTCCTTGTCTTTGTTTTAAACGGCACAATGCCGATCAAGATCGGCATTGTTGGCCACGAAAAAGGGGTCGCACATTAGTCCCTTTCCGCGGTGGAGTCGCCCCCGACGGGGCAAACGAATCCAGGATCCCTTCATGAGTCAATCCTTGATTAAGCGTCGCACTCACGCTGTCATCGTCATTGTCAACCCCGAAAATCATCGAGAACGATCCAAGCCCCGGTCCTAAATTTTCAGAATTTTTAAATGAATTTCCTGGCGTCGAAGAAATATTTTCCGCCCGTCAATACACAATGCAAACTGAATCTCTATGTTAAAAAATTCAGGATTTTATTTTTAATCCATCTTTGGAACCGAGGGATATCTTCCCTCGCTTGAAATCCCATTGATTGACATTAGCTGGAATTCTGGAATAAATTTTCGATTTGCGTTTCGGAGCCAAAGAGAATTTCTCCAAAGCGTTGGTAGGTAGGGCCAAGTCGAGATATATTGAGAAAAAATCGATAAGGGCCGTACAGGTGCAGGTGAAGTGCACTTTGTCCAGCCCTACTGCAGAGGCTCCTTGCCGAGATTGCTTCGGCGGAAAGCGTTTCTGCAAACGAGGAATGCTGAAAAAAGGCTCTTCAGCAGAAGCGATCAGTCTTCCAGGAGCGTCGCACCGAGGAGGAGCCCCGACCGGTCGGAGGTTCCGGTCGCGAAGACCATCTCGAAGGACCGGTGGGTCCATGGCTCTCTGGAATGGTTCGCCGAAGCCGACCAAAGGAAGGGCCCGAAGACTGGAGACGAGAAGGGAAAAGGGCCCTGAAAGAGGGAGAGAGAAGAACCACCGATGCGAAGACGCGAAATCGCCTTCGAACGACCGTGGGAGGTCCACGAGGCGTCCGGCCGCCCAAATGGCCGTAAAAAAAATTCCCCTAAAGTCCCTTCCGCCGTATAATAAATATCTACACAATTCCCTATTACAAATCACCCCCAAGTGAATGAGATAAAAAATAATCAAGCGGTCGAAAGACCACAAGGAAAATAAAACTGCGGAAATCGTGAAAGTGGTACCTTGAATTTTTGCAAAAATCTGGAAAAAAAAAGGAATTCTCTTGCGGAGTTAAATTCTTTCCAAGGATGACTGTTGATTACAGGATATGTGAAGTCCTTGATGAGTGGCTTCCCTTCGATGCTGGGACCGTGGGAGGTCTGAAGCAGACGAAGCGAAAGAAACTATGCAAAGTGGGCCTTTGCTCTCTCGAGGCTTCACAGGGACCGACGCTGAAGAAGAGACGACGGATGGAAGAACGGCTCAAGGTACACGGTTCGACTTCGGGCCGAGATATCAAGTAAACCCGTAATTCATGGGTACCGAGCCGGTATTGCCGGCGTTGCGCCAGCAAAGCGCAAACTTCAATTATCCCTTTACCGACTTGTCCCGATGGGCCCAACAACGCGCGACGCCGACGAGATTCGATGGGATCTCCTGGGATTCGATGGGATCCCCATGGAAAATGGGAACACCAGGAGGCTCAATGCCACCGTTGATACCTCGACAAAAAAAAAATCTCTCCATTGAAAAGAAAAATTGCGGAAGAAATACCGCACAATTATCGATACCGCAATAGAGGTGATAAATGAGTCACCTGTGGAACTTTTAATTATAAAAATTGTACATTAAATTTGACCGAGTGGGACAATACGTGCAGCGGCGTATTCAGCTTGCCGAGTAATTGGTGGATTTTGAAAATCGCGTATCGGATTTTTTTTCCCCCAAAGGTGGAGTCGAAAACGAAACAAGGAAGTCGAGTCTCGAGAGGAAGGGAGGCTGGGAGGGATTTTGAAAAGCGGAGTTCGGGAGCCATCTCATCTATTACCCAGAGGAACCAGGATTTCGAGGAGGAATAGGAAGGGAATCTGAAAAGGAAGGGTTGAATAAGTCGGCGGACCGAGGGCGTGGAAAGAAGCGGGGAAATTGGAGTAAAGGAGACGTCAATGAAGCGAGGCGGGAGCGTTTTGTAACTCGAACTCCGGTGTTGGTCACGAGACGAGAGAAAAGAAGAGCGTAAATACCGAGAAGGGGGATATACAAAAAAAAAAAGAGGATATAAAAACCCGAGGGGAAGTTCCAGTGGGACAAGGACGGAGGAATGGGAAAGTTCCTCCGAACCTCCTCCGAAGCACCCTCCAAACAGAATCCATGATAAAGGAAACGACCTTGAACCCTCGAAAGCAATCCGAAAGGGAGAGCGAAGACCACCAGGTCGGCCGAGTGACCTCGAATTTCCCCTAAAATCATATCCCGCGAAATAGACCGAGAAAGAATGAAGGAGGAGACCGTGGAAAAGTAGAGCGGAGGAAGAGAACCGCGAGCGTTTTGTAATTCGAGCCCTTTTGTCGTGGCGGGTAAAAAAGGTTAAAAAAGGAAAGCATGGGGGGGCCGCAGGGAGCGCGAAAGGGCGAATAAAAGTGGAAGCCGTGGGTAAGGGAATGAGGGATGACGAAGGAAGGAAGGAAGAGGGCAGAAGAAGTCGCGGGCCCGGGGGCAGGGGGCGCGGGCGGACGAAATGGAATGCGGTTACGGTAGATCGCGGACCAGTCCCCTCATTCCCCCGGGACCCCGGACCCAGGGGCCCCTGGGCCCCCCGACCCCCCCGGCCCCTCGGGCCCCAGCCCCACTGCGCCGCCGCGTCGGGGTCTGCAGGGTCCTCGGGAGAGGAAAAAACAGAAAACCGCCGGACACCCCGCGGCCCCGCCACCCTGAGGCCCTAAGCTCGCTTACAATCGACTACCAACTTCGATCCAATAAATTTCCTCCGGCGGGGCCTTATCGCCGGTATCGGGCCCCGTCGGTCGGCACGCGCGGAACCCGGCTGGCCGCGCATCGCACCGCGTGGTTCCCGTTTCGATCTAAGTTCCACTTTTCCGACTTCTCGATTTTCCACGAGTTGAAAACATTCTCGCGAGAGTTTTGGGAAATGGAACGAGCCGGCCGGTTTCGCCCTTCCGACCTCACACCTTTTCGTAAGGCGAATAAATTCTTGGGAGGGTTTTACAAAAAATTGAAAAAGAGAGGGGAGAAAATTAAAAGGCTATGATTATGGATAGCTAGGGTCGCGTTGGATTTTTACGTTGTTTCGAGAAATCGCAATGGAAGCGAGCCGTCTGGAATGTGCGTTCGGTCGCGGAGAATGTGCGATATGGTATAAATGGACCCTCTCTTTGCCTCGGATCTTCCTCTCTCCCTCTGTCCTCCGTCCTTCGGGTATATCCCGCTCCCTCTCGCCTTCTTTTCCTCGTCAGCCTCGTCATTCTCGGATCTCGTTTCACTAGTCGGTACCGTATAACACCGAGTACACGTACACATTTTAAGTACATAGGCGCGAGCTTTCTTAGAAGAAGTTTACGGGGTGTCGGGTTCGGTTCGAGTCTTGCACGGAGGGACTGCGATGCATTCGGGAATTATGCAGTTCGGACGATTGCCCCCGATTGTCTGACCGATTATAAATTTCCTCCTAATTCGTAAAGAGCTGACAAAAATGTCCTTCCTCAAAATGGTAACCCCAGTTACGATATCGTAACCTTGGCCTTCCTCTCTTGCTCTCCCCCTTTGCCTCCGATTTTTCACGAGCGGCGTCCTCGATTGCATTATGCCGAGGCACGATGTACTAATACTTGCAGTGACCTAATGTCAGATCGCCACTGATAACTCCTCGGATTCACGATGCTGAACATCCTCGCGGAAACAAGGT